CGGCGCGGCAATCGCTGAAAAGCTGCCGCGAGATACCCTTCACATTTGCCTGGGTTTCCTCGGGAACGCGATCAAGTTATTTTGTGTTCGACACGGTTTATTTCTCCTGTCGCCTATGGAAAGGTAAACTGACTTTGATGCAAAGGTCTTCCATTGCGTTTTAATCGATCATGCACTTATTGCGGCATTAGCCGCGTCGAATGAGTTATTTCTGTCGCGCCGCAGTCCCCACAAAAATACTATGTCCACGGAAGATAACTGCCTAGGTAACAGGCCGTAAAGAGAATTTACGATGAATTGTTTACGCATTAGAATGCAGTGTTTTGAATAATCAGGGTGCATTTGTGGAAATTTTGTATTTCCAGTAAGAAATTGTACTACATTAAATGAAGTGATGTTAAAGAAATATTTGTTCTGTCTCCGATATAATTTATTAGATTAAAAAATTCACTGAAATTTTTATTCAACGCTTTTAAAGGTTTTTATGATACTTTTTTGTATATTTTACTTGGTGTAATTTTAATTCATTTTGTGAATTTTTACATAAAATTAATGGTTCAGCTGTGAATTATTCATTTTACTTTTTTGGAGAGATAGGAAAATGTGTGTGACTTCATTTTGTTGATAACTTTGAATATTCATGGTGTAACAGACATTGTTTTTTTTATAAGCAAACATTTTTTATTATGTTTTATGTTTTCTGTAATGAACGTTGCTGCAATTAGTTCCTTTTCATACGAACAAAATTAAATACGGGTATTTAAATGTCTACACTGTGTAAGAAAATCCTTTTTTCTTCTAATTTTTGAATATATCGAAATTGAAACAATTTTGCTCGCTGGCGACTATTGTTTTATATATTTTCCAAAATACTTTTTCCATTTAAAATTTAATTTTTGTTTTCTTTCTTATCATATGTATGCTTACAATGTATACTTATAACATTTATTTGGAATACTAAAATTTGTCAGAGAGCGCAACGAGAAACTCAAATAATGATGACAAACAATTAATCTACTTTACACGTTGACATTTAAATTGCATTTGCTGTTGTTGACTCCGATTGGCTTTGTTCGATTTTATCTATTCTACATATTTCATTGTATCATGAATTGTTTTAAAATTTATCCATTACGTTATTGTAAATAAAAATATATCTTTTATTATGTTAACATAAAAATGTATCATTTGTGATACGAAAAATAAAAATTTTTATATTTATATAGATATAAAAGCGATTCTTATCGAAGGCAGCTGTGCTTGACACCCATATTCCGAGTCACGCCAACAGCAGTATTAATTTTTTTATTTATTTAAATCGAAAAGAAGTTTTTATACCAAATTATTAAATAAAATCATTTATTAATACGTACACTAAAATACAAGTCTCTAAAATACATAGATCTCAATAAATACACTCATATAATATTATAAACAATTATTCCTAAAACCACTGAACAATTAAACTAATTTCCAATTTTCTTATATAAACTACAATTCAGAAATTCTTATAAAAAGTACTTATTAATACAAACTATCAATTTTAAATCTAAAAGCTCGATTATAACTAAAACACTCACTGTACCCAAATAAATCAACTTATCCAATAATCTTTCACAAAATCATCTTTTCAATAATTTTAAAAGAAAAATTTCAAAACGTGTCAGTACAATTTGCTTACCAGCTCCAGTGTGAACACTAAAACTACCGAGCAGTTAAATTGACTTTTTGAAATGCACTCTATAGAAACTCCAATGGTGTATCTATCGAGACTTCAATTGATATACAATTCAGTTTGCGTATTGCTATATTGATTTCTTTAATGACTTCTCAGAGAAACATCTGTTATGTTTTTAGTAATTGCAAGGAAAAAAAATCAGGAATGGATCATTTTGACCCATCTGGTAGTTTTAGTGTTAAAAAGGCAAATCACTTCGACTGTGCAGGGCTTCAGAAGTTAGTTTCCATAGTTAATCAACCGCGGCAATCGAAAAAGAAGTGAAAAATTCTTGTAGAAAGTACCTATTAATACAAATAACCAATTCTAAATCTTAACTAAAAATTAACTAAAATCTACATCTTAATTGAAACACTCAATGTACCCAAATAAATCAACTTATCCAATAATCTCTTTCAAAATTATCTTTTCAATAATTCTAAAGGAAAAATTTCAAAATGTGTCAGTATAACTTCTTTACCGGTTCCAGTGTTAAAAAGGCAAGTCACTTTGACTGTTCAGGGCTTCAGCGGTTAGCTTCTACAGTTAATCAATCGCGGCAACCGAAAAAGAGGAGAAACTTTCAGGAAATATCGAGATCCTCGTGTTCGATGCCTGCAGAAAATTTCAGCCACGTATCGGTTCGTTTCTCGGGGCGCGGCGCGGGTTTCGTTACAGGCCCGGCAGCAATATAAATGCGGGGTTGCATGATGCAGCGGGTCTGCGCGTGGCAATGAAGAATAACCCATCCCCACCCTCGCCGCGGCCGGAGTTGATCCAGGGTTTCCCGGTCGGAAACCGAACCCGAAGCTTGTTGATATCGTCGCGACCGGCTAATATTTCCGAAGCGTATTGATGGACCCTAAACTTCCGTCGCCGAAAGCATTTCGCTCTGCTGCGGACTGATATTGATTTACCCGTTCTTCAACGGCATTGACGGAAATCCGCTTTGAAGAAAACTGATTGCGGGAAAATTCGAAGAAAAAAATTCTCGCTTTGTGACACCAACATACGTGCGTGTACTACCAGTATTTTTTGATTCGTGTTATTTGGGAGATATTATGTTTCGTTGACCTCCGCGGAATACGGGATTTTTGGCGAATTTCAAAGAGATTTTAGAGATGGGTGTTTGAAAAATTATATATTTTATTTAGTACTAGAACTGCTAGACGGGTAAAAATGACCCAATCCTGATTTCTTCTTTTTGCAATGATTAAAATAGTAGGAGATGTTTCTCTGAGAAATTATTAAGGGATTGATTGAGCAATACGCAAACTGAATTTTAAATTACTTAAAGTGTTAATAGATGCACTATTGAAGTTTCTATAAGAGGAATTTCAAAAAGTTTGGCTGCTCGTTAGTTTTAGTGTTAAGTTGTTGGGTTATCACAATGTGTTTGATCGGTGGTGAAGATTTTAGAGAACTTAACAAAGATGAATGTTAGTCAATTCTTTGGAATTTAAATTAAATATTGTTCTTCCGTTATGAATAATTATATTTTAGAGTGAATATGGATGCAGAATATGTCTAGACGCAGATTTTAGAATTGACTGTTGAAAAATAAAATATTTTATTTAAGTTGTTGTATTATGACAATATGTTTGATTGGTGATGAAGATTTTGGAGCATTTAACAGGGAAAATTTGAATTCGTTAGAAATGTTATTAAATAATTAATGTGAAAATAATTACCAGTTTATGGATCACAAAACTACTATTTCATTTGAAAATGAGGTCAAACAAATTCGGATGACTGATTTTTTGTAATGATTCATCTACACTTTTTCTAGGGATGGTTCTTTCAATTCACTTTGTCTTCTGATAATTAACTGCCAGCTCACTACATTTTTTGCAAAGGATACGAAGCTGATGACTATAATAAAAATAAGTTCATTATAAGGTTCTCTTGGCCAAGAAACGAGACCGGAGCTTTATATTTCGCGCGTCATCTTCCGTTAATTGAACAGCTGATATTATTCATCTTTCTGATATGGCAATTTGGTATTCACTTACAAAGAGAGTGTAATTAAATATGGGACGAAATTTTTCATTTAATTTTGGATAAAATATAATTGCATTTAAGTTACACTCGCAGTTATAAAGTACAAGTTTAGTATAGTGTTGGACAATATTTAATGCATTGAATAGGTACTTAGCTATTAAATAGATTCACGATTAAATTGGTTACATAATTACCAATTTATTAATTAATTCATTATTAAATTATTGAACATTTTTGTCGTTTTTCGGTAGAACTAAATAGGTAACACGTAACATATTTAGTTATCAGTTGATGATCAACAATTATTATTAATAGTTAATATATGAAGATGCATTTCGTCCATCAATTAACTCAATCACAATTATTGACAATTAATTTCGTTTAATCATGAGAACTAATCGACTAATCAAATCAACAATTCTAAACGACTGATAGCCAACACTGGCATAATAATAAAGTAATTCTTATAAGTTTAACACTAGAATTATTACAGTACCATGTGAACGAGAGCATTAATCTTGAAAATATCATTGGATAAAAAGAAATATTGCAATTTCAATAATTGTAAAATAAGAAATCCAAAACTAATCATTTTAACTAATAGACTGCATTTGAATCTTCCTACACTCTTAAATTCATTTATATATTAAAAATAATATCCAGGAAAAGATGCATACATTAATAATAATTTTCTAATATTTCTCTTAAATACAATCATGTTTTATAAAAATTAAATACCTGACTATATGTGTATTAAAGTAATCTACAATAAATAACTATATTAACGTTAATAGAACGAAATGTAGCTAAATAAAACAGACATAAAGAACAGTACGGTTAATCAAGAAGCATGTTATAAAACAAATGGTTAATCACAAACACAATTCTCGGAGCCGCAGTTCCACTGAAACGATTAAATCCCGCTAAGATACGAGGCGCTCGGCCAACAGACAGCGTCAATTAACATTAACAAAACAGCAGCAGTCACCGGAAAACCTCGTCGAGCAAAAATCTCCAACGACAAAACAACCACTCGCCGCCCTTCACCCGACCAAAACACCAACCCTCGTGAGCCCTTTTCAATTCGCGCCTCACCGGCCATTAGTAATCGAACCCCTCCACTTTGCATCTCGCTTTCGCGTCGACAGAACATCCAATTACACCCCCGCGCGCCGTAGAACATTCCTGGTCGTTCTAGAAACTCGTAGCACCCGCCCACAAACCAACGAGTCACTTAGAAACCGCGTAGAATAAATAAAAAAAAAGAAGTTTAATTTACCAGTGTACGTGAAAATTTATCAACGAAGTGATTGAATAACCAGAAAAGCTGCAGAAGATAGAGGATCGAAGAAATTAGATAGTTCGAAGAGGAGTCAGTAAGCAAGAGGAAATAGAAGCTCTCCAGAAACAGTTAGTACCCAAAAACAAGGGAATTAGCTAGAGACCACACAAAATAAATAAAAAGAAAGAAGGTCCCTCTATCAATGCACATGAAAAATCCGAGTGTCCAACGAAGCGATCAATAAATAATCGATATATAATCAGAAAAGCTGCAGAAGATAGAGGATCAACGAAGCTAGGCAGGTCGAAGAGGAATCAGAGGCCAAGAGGCAATAGAAGACACGTGTCAGTGTATTTCAACTCGTCGCAGATGCTGAGGATTCAACCGGGCAGCTGGTAGGGTCTATTCCGAGGTCAGCGGGGTCTTGAGCGATGATCGGCTCGTCGGTGGCGACGATCGATCCCACGGATCCACCCGAGGCCGTCGCCGACACCTGTTTCGAGGACCTTTTGTTTTTCGGCGGCGCGAACGACACGAGTGCCGGCTGCGGGCTCGCGGTGTCGGGAATACTAAATGACAGCCGTTATGATGGCGGCTCGCCGGTGAACGGGACGCTGCTCGACGCCGAGACCGACGGGCTGAACAACTGGTGGGCCATGCTGGCCCTTGTCCTCGTCCTAGGCACAGCAGCAGGGAATATCCTGGTGTGTCTGGCGATCGCCAAGGAGAGACGACTGCAGAATGTCACCAATTACTTTCTGATGAGCCTGGCGATCACGGATCTGATGGTCGCTGTTCTGGTCATGCCGCTTGGGATACTGACGCTTGTGCGAGGTAAGAGTTTGTTTTCATCGTTTGGTGACGAGCGACGAGGAATGATCGGAATGTGATGGCGGTATGGCGAAGGTTCTAGAACCGGATAAAATGGGGAGGCCTTTGTTTATTTACATTCACGCTCTTGATTGTCGAGTCTTGGTCAAAGTCTGCGGTCGCGATAAACATTAGTTTTACGTAAAACTTTAATTTTCGAAGATCAAGGTCATTTCAAGGTCACGTTTATTATACATGTTTGAACGTATTTTTCGATCAGCTGCACGATGCAATAAAAAGAAATGTAATTATGTGTCGACAAACACCGATGACCTTGATAACAGTTGAAAAAAATGTCCATGGAAAAAGAAATTTTCGCCAGATATTCGGACATTGACACTATGTACATTACGTAACAAATATTTTTTGCATCACAATAACCTGAAAAGATGTATAGGTGGCCTTACTTAAAAGGACTACCCCGTATAGGGGCTGTGGAGTTGCAGCTTCTTCAGAATGAATGAATGTTTCTGTTTTATTATAAATTTAGATATATTTATATAAAATCTGCTATATTTTATATTATAAATCACTTCAAAAATATTTACAACAGTCTTTTACCTGTTTATATATTGTAGTCGATGTTACAATCATTCGATAACAAATTTCTTTTTCGACT